GGAAAGTAGTAGCGTTGCTGGTGTTGATGTTCTGGCTGCTGCTTCCGAATCCGGGGGCCGCGCCGCCAAAGCCGCCATCCTCACCTTCCGGGGATTCGAAGCAGATGGCCACTGGTGCATGCTCTGTCGCAGAGAGCAGAAAGTAGCCAAGATCAGGGTCCAGCAGGGATGTGCACGTCGCCAGGGCCTCGTCGCGGTTGTGCGTGTACACGCGCTGCCGCTGCGTGTTCTCTCCCGTGACGAGCTGCCGCACCCGGAAATCAGCCCCCGTGTCCGTGCTCTCCTGCAGCTCCTGCTCCAGGCGGAACACCCACGACGACAGGGAGATGTTGGTGATGCCGCCGGGGTGGGTGATGTAGAACGAATAGCGTGACGTGACATCGGGACTGAATGTGCACCAGCCGCCGGGGCGCTGCTCCGACCCCCGCACGACGTCGACAACCTGGAATGTCAGCAGAGGACGTGCAGACGAGGGTGCCGTATCCAGGGACGCTGTACTCGATGACCGGCCGTTCAGGATGCTGCCGCTCAGGCTGCTCTTGTGGGCGTGGTGACCGCGGTGTGGTAGCCACTGCGCCTCGACGCCCACGAGGTCGAGACAGATGTGCAGTTTGCCGGTTGTCGAAATCAAGCAGATGACCGGCAGAGACAGGCCCTCTTGGTCTTCTCTGTCAATCAGATCTTCGTACTGCAACTCGTCGCCTTCGTCGTCGTCGCCCGTCAGGAACTCGGTGTCGATCCTTTCACCGATGACAAAAATGTCGCAGAGCTCGCCGATCAGGCTCTCGCCCTCGTCGTCCGACTCGTCGTCCAGATCGACTTCCAGCGGGCCCTGCAACCGGGGAACAATGCTCGGGTTGGAAGGCCGTGTGTAAATTTCAGTGGGTGGCTCGTGGCCGGACTGCGCGGCCGAGTCGACAATTGTGGGCTCTTGGTTGTCGATCTGGGTCATCCAGTCCAGTTGCTGGCGGGCGAGTTGTCTGGCGCGAGGGGTGGTGTTCGGGTCGTCCTCGACAGCGGCCAGGTTCGAGACGATGGCGACAGAGAGGGAAGGGATCAAGGCCGTGGGCGGCGCAAAGCGCTTGGGCAACAGGGGACACAGCGCGTACACGTCACCGCCCAGCATGGCCAAGTAGAGCGTCATGGACGACCAGCCACCCGAGCTTCGGGGCCCAAAGCAGGCCGCTGCCACCTCCATGTCGAAAAAGTCGGGCGAGTAGCCGGTGTTGGTGTTGGCTGACGCGCCAAAGTCTTGGTCAAGCCACGTGCCATCGGCAAGCTTCTTCACATCGATCGACAGGGACGGCGCATCAAAAGACCACCGGTCGACAGGCGAGATCTCCCAGAGGCGGACAACGGCGTCTCGCGTGATGGTGACGATGGCGGAGCCATTGACTCCCAGCGGATGCCACAGGGCCGAAACGACGGGCTGGCGCGTCGTGACGTGGGTGGTCGGACCCAGAGTGAAGTAGCGCGTCTTGAGCGGGACGTCGGGGTCTTGGGCAGCCACGAGGTGGGACGGATCGGGCAGAACACAGATGTGGACGGTGTGCGTGGTGAGGATGGCCATGTAGTTGGCCTGCGGAGAGATGACGAGCTGCCGGATGTCGCTGGCGACGGGCGGTTTGAGTGTCTGCTTGCGTGTTAGTAGAGACATGGACTACGCACCACACCCTATCAGCAAAGGACAAGGAGGCTTACCCGGTAGGCTGGTGTCGAGGGAGCCGTGTTGCTCGTGCTCTTGGTGAAGCCGTCTTGTGTGGTTTCCCACGCGTCCTTCATCGTGACGAGATCTGCCCACCGGATTTCCCGTCCATTGGCAACAAACACCTCCGTACCCCGCCGGGCAATCGTCCGTTTGGGGCCCGGGATGTATGCCTGCTTCTTGGGGCTACCGTAGGCGGAGGCTGGGTGTGGGCTGGCTGTGGATGCGGCCAGGGATGATTTGCGTGCATTTGCTGCCGAGGATGCGAACAGGCCGCGGCCGTCGGTTGAGTCCGTGGACAGCCATGCCGGCGTGAACGAACGAATTTTCGGCATTTTTCGAGGATCTTGTAGACGGGGACGAGGGTCGCGAGAGAAGGAAAAGGCACGTTTCAGGAGCAGACGACAAATGTGCAGAGGCAGAAGTCGGAAACGAAGCAGAAGACGCTCCTTTGTGGTGTAGCTTGGATCGAGAAGCCTGGACTTGTGGCAGCGCAATCAATCTTCTAGGCGAATTGCTGGCCGCCTATCTCGCCAAAGGATGCCGGCTGTGTGCAACGAGGATTGTTGTGGCAGTCGTGGCCAGGGAGTAGGGAGTTTGCTTAGACGAGGCTCATCTTGATGATGGTGATTTTTTGTGTCTACCTGCCAACCACTTTTTGGGACCTGACTTTTTGGGGGCGCGTCGCTGCAGCAAATGGCAAGCGCGGCGGTCGCTTCTTCGCGGCTTGCATGGCAAGAGCGACTCAGGTGCTGTGGCTCAAGCTTTACCAGCCACAAATTGTCCCAATGGGCCCATTTGCCCAAGAAAGGCAGGCACCCCACTGTTCATTGGGACCGGACCTGCAGCCGCTAAATGTGACCTGTGCTGTCTGGGGCCTTGCCGCTACGACTTTCTTTCTGTCTGCGCTTCTCTGCTCGACGACTGGGCTTTTGCGACGAGCCCTCCAGCACAACACAACCATGGCTCCCGTACAGGAACAACAGAGCACGGTCGACCGTCTGGATCGGCCGAGCGCCTACTTCGATGCGAAGGTGGGTGTGCCTATGTGAACGTGCCGTCTTCCATGGTGATCTTTTGTCTTTTTGCTGACGTTCGCTCCCTTTGGCCAGAGACGGCGGAACAACCATCGCCACCGCGACGACATTGAGGCCGAGGCCCCTGCGGAAGACCCCCTCGCCAATGCGACGACGCTCTACGTGGGCAACTTGTAGGTTGCCACAGTTGCGCTGCGCGCTCTCCACGACGGATGAGAACTGTGAAGTTGACGAATAATCCTTTCCTCCAGGTCATTCTATACAACCGAAGAACAAGTCTACGAGCTGTTTTCCAAGTGCGGCGAGATCAAGCGTTTGATCATGGGCCTCGACCGGTTCAACAAGACCCCCTGCGGCTTCTGCTTCGTTGAGTACTACACGCACCAGGACGCCCTCGACTGCATGAAGTACATTGGCGGCACGAAGCTGGACGAGCGCATCATCCGCACAGATTTGGACCCGGGCTTCCAGGAGGGCCGGCAGTACGGCCGCGGCAAGTCGGGTGGCCAGGTGCGCGACGAGTACCGCGACGACTTTGACGAGGGCCGCGGCGGCCTGGGCCGGGCGCTGCAGATGGAGCGAGACGCGGCACAGGAGCGCGAACGAGAGCGCGAGCGCGAGCGGCGTGCCAACCGCGACCGTGAGCGGGAGGGCGACCGTGACCGCGACCGGTATGACCGGGGCGGGCGCAGCAACCGGGGCCATGACCGCGATTACCGCAACGGGGCCGGTCGCGACGCAGCGGTGGAGGGCGACTTTGATGACTTCCGGTGAGCCCCTCCAAAGAGGATGGGGTGCAGATGGTCTGCACGTCAAGGGTTAAAACTACGGGTTCTTGGGAGTTTAATGTATTCAATTCTTTCCAATGTGTCGTGCCTGCAGTGCACACCGACGCGCAAAATGAGGATCATTGGTTGGTCAGGTTCATTGTTTTTTTTGTAAGCATCCTTTTTGCAATTGCGATTTTCGTATTAAAGCGGAACGCCCAAAACGTTGAGTTCGTTTTCATTTCTATATACACATGATGATTGGTGGGATATCGTACAAGCCAGACCATACGCTGGCGGTAAGTAAAAAGGAGAATACACGAGGGCCAAGGTCTCCGTTGTCGTCGTCGTAGTCGTCGTTTCGCAACGTCGTTCTTAGTAACCCGGCGGGTTAATTCTCTGGGACACTCTTGTCCACTTCGGTAGTCCTAACAACAGTTAGTCAATGGGCCCATCGTCCTCTCCCTCGTCTGTCAAGAGCCCGAACGTACTGTGAATGCCCTTCCGATACCGTTTCGCCTTGCGGTCAAAGATTGTGTACTTGTCGCGTGCCTGCATCTCCTCCTCCTTGGGCATCTCCTCCTTCCAGCGCTCCAGCGCGTTCAGCGTCTGGCCCTGCTTCGCGAGCGCCGTGTCGAGTGTGCCGATGACCGTGTCGACGGCCTGCAGCCGCTTGCGTTGGCGGTACTTTTGGAACCGGGACAGCCGCCATGGGATTTTCCTGTAGAGAGAGGACAGTTAGATGAGAGTCGGCAGGGCGGGCAGCTTGGATGTTGCTCTTCGTACCATAGAAGGCCGCCGCTGAGCGGGTTCGTCGCGCGAAAGGGGCCGAGACCAAACATCGTGAGGGCGCGGGAGTTGTGTGGTTTGGCCGAGTAAGGTGACGTGGACTTCGAGAGACGAGAGGTTTGGCGGTCGATTTTTTTCGAGGCTGTCGACAGGTTGACATGGTGGAGTCGTAAGGCTATTGGCCAATCACACCAAGCCATTGAGTTGAACAGCAGCAGCCGCGTCAGTATCGCTCTGGACAGCACCTCTCCACGGCAGCACGTAGAGATACACGACGTTGTCGTTCGACGATCAATTTGCATTTAAAGAATTGTAGATGATACTCCCTAAACGAGATTTCTTGTTCAACACAACTACTGTAATTGGATTGTGTTGAAGATTGAACGAAAGTCGCCGACCACGACAGCACGTGACTTGAACCCCAAGGCGCCAAAATAGATACAGCTTCATGCTGCTGCAGCTACTGTGTTACAGAGGCATCTTCAGCCAACGGGCACAACGCACAGCGTGCCTCGAAGTGACGACGATACAAGCTGAAGACAGAGGCACGACCACGACAGACGAACGACAGCAGCCAGCAAACCGACGGGAGTATACGCACGCGACATACACGACGGGAAATCCAGTCTTACCCCAGTTTCCACGTCTCTCCCCTTGCAGTCGGCCGTTAGAGTGGACCGCTTCAAAACCGCCCAGACCGCCATGTCCTACTACTTTGCCATTGTCGGCACGCAGGACAACCCGCTGTTTGAGTACGAGTTTGGCACGTCGAAGCAGGGCGGTGATGGCCAGGCGCACTTTGCCGAGCAGGCGCGCCACCTGAACCAGTTTGTCGTCCACAGCAGCCTCGACGTTGTCGAGGAGGTGCAATGGGGCGGCAACGGCCAAATGTGCGTGCCCCCCTCCCACCCCTACCTACTTACACCCTGCCGTCATCCAGTTGTCACGCGTCTCTCCCCTGACACTCGTTCCAGGTACCTCAAGTGCGTAGACAAGTTCTTCCACAACTACGTGTCGTGCTTCATCACGGGCTCCAACGCCAAGTTCCTGCTGCTGCACCAGCCGACGACGGCGTCCAATGCGTTTGCCTACGGCTCCGGGGCGGGCGGCATGGGCGCGGCAGGCGGGCCCCTGATGGGCGCCAGCGGACTCCTGGGCGCAGGCAACAATGCATCGTCTGCGGTGACGGCGGCTGCCTCGTCCCGCGCGTCGACATCCATCGGGGCGAACCCCACGAGCGCTGCCACCGAGGAGGCCATCAAGAACTTCTTCAACGAGGTGTACGAGAACTGGGTTAAGACGACCATGAGTCCCTTTTACAAGGCCAACATGGAGATACGGAGTCCGGTGTTCCGCACGCGGGTGGCCGCTGCTGGCAAGAAGTACTTATAGGACGGTTCAGGCGGCAAAATGGGGCACAGGGATGGAAGGTAGCAGTCTCGCTCCTAGACAGCTTGATGGGGTTAACAAGTATTATGATAGACACTCACAATTGATACCAGTTCCAACTAGACGCGGTCGTTGTTTACTTTTACAGCGCAATAACAGTCATGAGCACAGTGCAAGAACAGAATGCGAGAAAATATGTACCATGTTATGATTGGTGTCATCGTGCAGAGCGACAGCGTCGTCACGCGTCATATCTAGCACTAAAATCCGTTGCAAAACGCCCTCCCCAAAGTAACGCCCAGTACACAAGGTCGCACAGATCCTGAACCCTTGGTACCCCATTCGTAAAATCAAAACAGACACTCGAGGCACAAAGCCCCCCATTTCGTCCACCAGTTGGGTATCGAAGTTGTTTAACCGCCGAAACCGTACAGGGTACGGCCCTGGCGCTTCAGAGCGTAGACGACATCGAGCGACGTGACAGTCTTGCGCTTGGCGTGCTCAGTGTAGGTGACGGCGTCACGGATCACACCCTCCAGGAAGGACTTGAGAACACCGCGGGTCTCCTCGTAGATCACTGTGATGATTGTTAGTATTGGGATAATGCTGGTCTTGTGTTGTTAGGACAGGAAAACATACTGCCAGAGATACGCTTGACACCGCCACGACGCGCCAGACGGCGGATGGCAGGCTTGGTGATGCCCTGAATGTTGTCGCGAAGAATCTTCCGGTGGCGCTTGGCACCACCCTTGCCGAGGCCCTTGCCGCCCTTGCCGCCTAGAGAAAAGTAATGTTAACATCAAGTTGACAAGGCATTCATCATTCCCAGACGATGTCGATGTCAAGTAAACTTGACAAAGGCTTCAAGTCACATCGCGATGTTGACCCCAAGGCTGAGACCCATCACAGTGGATAGATCATATAGCCTTGTGCCCAATCGGTGATGCCTCAAGTGACAGGTGTCGATGCTTGGAAGAAATAGTAACTTACGTCCAGTCATTTTGATAAAAAGGTAAAGTGGTTGAAGAAAATAAAAGTAAACAGTTGTCGATGCGAAAAGACGCGTGGCGATGATGGATGATGAAATGCCGGATGTGATGATGGAGAAGAAAAGAGAAGAAAGGAAGAGGGGAAGGGGGAAGAGAGGGCGAATTTAAAAGGAAACGGGAAGAAGGGTGGGAGGGACGGATCTAAAAGGAAAGCGCGAGGGCCAGGGGGGAATCGCCAGAAACGGGAACAGAGGGGCGAAAACATGCAAATCCAGAGGGCCAAAACACGGCGTGTCAGACGGCTGGCTGATGCGAGCTGATCTGGGGGGATTCCACCGGGCAAGACGAGACCAGAAACAAAGAAAGACCACGGGGCTTGACGACTACGGCGGGGTGCACGGCTGCGCGACTAGGATGCTTTTTTCCCCTACAAAATACGACTTGTTTTGCGAGTGGATTGCAGCATTACAGAGAGATATTATGGCCGTTGCGGCTGCTAGACCTCTCTGGGCGATCGCTCCTTCTGCAAATTCGTTATTCTTTTTCTGTTGCGAGTGTTATTTTTTCATTCGTCACGTATTTTCCCCTGCTTGCACGGTCTGGTGGAGTCCTCTTGCCGTCTGTTGGGTTGCTGATTGTGGAAAGAGTGGGATCGCAAAACAACAAGACACTGGCACGGGTGGACTGCCGCTGAACCGCCCAGTCGCGCTTGGCCCGAGCGGGGCTCGTTGTACCCGTTCCTTGCTGCATGAGGCACTTCCCATCTGGATGCGGCCCCACAAATAAGCACAGCTGGGAGAGCTGTTGCCCATTTTCCATCGGACCAATCAGAAAAATCGGCACACAGGATCCACTGGCATTGCTGATCAAAGCAGCGCAATTTATGATTGGCTGATCAGACTTCAATGTCAACATCAGATCAAATCAGTCCAACAAACAGTCCAGCAAACCCGGATCGGGCGACGACACGTGTACCTGCCTTTGCGACGCGTCGATGCAATGGAAGGCACGAAAATGTAAACAATAGACCCACCGTCGAGAAGCCATCACGAAGCCCAAACCGGGTCTCAAACGACCCGCAACGTACTGTGTAGTGGACGACGGCACCTTGCTGTGTTGACGCAACTTCATGTCTATTACCGTGTCGACGTATCGATCTATCGTACAATACCGAAATAGCAATGCTTGCGCGGCCCACGACGAAAGAGACCCGGGAAGCAACGATATATAGAAGTTCCGGTGCCCCCGACATCTCCTTCTCTTCTTGACGTCTCTTTGTCCTCTTTTGCCATTTCGACTCTTCCTCTCCTGCGCCCTTGGTCTTCCAGCGTACCCATTGCCACCGAGTCCCTGCCGTGACCATGTATGCGTATGCGCGTGTGCCTTGCTTTTGCACCTGTCGTCGCGTTCTCGTGCCCCTTTGCCATCCAGCTAGAAATGATGCGAAACGCGAAACCCAGTGAGATGCAAAACGGCCCGCCCCATGCAAGAAAGCAGAAAGCACAAATGTGTGACAAAGCAGTAAAACAATCCTTCCGTCCTATTCTCATGGCGTCGTAAAGGTCCTTTCCAGTCCTTGCTATTATGTGAAATAAGTAAGTGAAGCCATGCCCCCTTTGCATTGACGTCGCCGAATCGAATGACAAAACGAAGCAATGAGGCAATGAGGCATTACCACATGAGCCGCCGTGTAGCTTTTGTTCAATCGCTCGTCGCTCGTCGTGCATCGTGTCTCAGGCAACCATGTAGTCTTCAAGTTCGTCCTCGTCATCCTCTAGGCTTCCTATCGCTTGTTTGATCTTCTGACTTGCCTATGGGGGAGTGTGTTAGTTCGCTTCGTTCGCGGCCACTTGAGACGGGGGAGGGGGACGACAGCTGACTCACCTTTGGGTCAAGGCTCAGTGCAATCGTAAAGTGGCGGACCGCCGAGCTCTTGTCGTTGAGCGTCTTGTAGAGTTTGCCGAGCAGGAAATGGACGGGGGCCTCGTCGGGGGCCAGGTCCTTGAGGATCATGAGCTCCTGCTGTGCTGCCTGCAGCTGGCCGATGGCCAGAAGAGCGCGGGCTTTGCGGAAGCGGGTCTGGGCAGCCTTCGGCGCCAGGTCGGTCGCCTTGCTGAAATACTGCAGGGCCGGCAGGATCTGCTTCTGCCGCTCGAGTACTTTACCAATGCAGCAGATGAGGACGGCGTTGGTGGGGTGGATGGCCGACGCCGTGTGGTAGTGCGGGTATGCCTTGTCAAAGTTGCCCAGCTTCTCGTACACGCGCCCGATGCCGTAGTACGCATTGTAGTGCCGCCGGTCGGCCGCGATCGCGTGGCGATACGCCGTCAGCGCCTTGTCGTACTCCTCGTTCAGCACATGCTCGTGGCCTTGCAGCGTGTAGGCGTAGGCAAACTTGGGGTTGAGCTGTGTGGCTCGTCGGAAACAGCGGAGCGCCTGCTCGTGATCTTGCGCAAGAGACCATGCATTGCCCAGAGCACACCAGGCCTGTGGCGATTGCCAGGCCGCATCGACGAGCTCGTGGGCCAAAAACGACAGGTCCGTCTCGCGCTTGAGGAACCACAGGATCGTCGAGTACACCTCCATGTCTTCCAGGCGTGTCGGCGACAGGACGCGCACTCGTCGGAAGCACACTTCCGCCTCGGCGTAGGCCGCAAGCTCGTATTGGGCACGACCCAGTAGGGCTTGGACCCACGGTGTATCGATGTGGGAGCGGGGAAGCGAGTTGACAATCTGAAGCACCTCTGAGCACTGGAACTGCGCCAGAGCAAGGTATCCGCCTCCCAGCTTCTTCATCAACTCCAAGACCCAGCGCAGAGCGTCCTCCATTTTGGCCATGTCGACATCGCCGGCCTGCTTTTGGGCACCCTGCTGGTGGAGCAGCGACGATTGGTGTTGTTGTTGGTGCTGTTGTTGCTGTAGTTGCTGCTGCTGCTGCTGCTGCTGCTGTTGCTGTTGTTGTTGCTGTGAGAGTGTGGGGGGCACAGATGCCGTGGCAATGACGGGGTCCCGGACCCGAGGGCCTTCCATTGGATCCATGTCCATAGTGCCGTCGTCGACGGGTTTTCTGTTGCCACTGACCACGCGGCCGACGGTGGAGCCGCTGGAGCCTGGCCGGACAATTCTCGAGATAGGAGGACGGGCCTTTTTCAGCTCTCGCGTATTCGAAGCACCCATCGCAGTTGTCGCTCCCGCATTGGTCCTACCTGCGGACGCCTTGTTGAACATGTTCAGGCGCGCGCTGCGGCGCTGCGGCACTCCCAAATCGTCTTGCTGGGCTGCTGCCTGCCGCGGTGCCACCGGGTGACCCGATGCTGTTCGCTTTCGTTCTGTGGTCGACGAAGAAAGAGAGGATGCTGTTGCTGCTGTTGCTCCGCCTACTCCTCCGCCGCCTGTCTGTGCGATGCCCGTCGCACCCGCTGCGCCTCCGTTCGTTGCGCTCGCCGTCGACCGCAGCAGCGACGAAGCCTGGTCTGCGGCGGATATATCGCCGTTGCCACTGCTGTCCGTCGTCCCCGTCCTGCCCCGCCGTGTGGAGGCACCTAACCGATACATAATCTTGGATGGCGCGCCAGGCTGCTGCTGCTGTTGCTGCTGCCCGTTATCGGGCAGACTGGGGTCCGCCACCACGGTTGGTAGGGGTGCCCCGGCTCTGCGCCGCACAGGCGCATGCGGGATGTCCTGCTGCATGCCGGGTGGCGTGGCCATAGTGTCTGGTGACGGCTGGCCACTGAGGCCGCCCGATGCCGCAACGCGTGACCGGGCGGCAAAGATCCTGGCCATAAAGTCGTTTTCCTCGGACTCGGCCGAGGTGCTCCCCTGGGCCCCGGCCCCAGAGCGCGTCGGCTGAAGTGGCTGATTCGGTGCCTGCTGGTGGTCAAAAGGGTCGCTCATTTCGTGTGCTGCCGGCTGCCGCGTCGATAATGTCGATGCGTTCGTGCCGGTACGTTTCAGAGGGAGCTGCGGCTGCTGTTCTGTCAAGTACCCAGGCGCGACATTCTGGCTGTCGTTTGGGGCGTCCGGCTCAAAGGAGCGAACGAGGGCGTCGTTGATACGAAACGTGTTGGATACCCGCACGTTTAGACCAATATCACAGAGGGCTGTAAAGGCGTCCCACATAAGCGGGTTTGTCCGCAGAGCATCTTCAAAGTAGGCGGCCGCCTTTTTCCGGTCGTCCATGCCGCGGTAGAGCTTGCCGAGGAGGCAGTAGACGGTGGCTGCGTCCGGGCCATTTGCTCGGGTCGTCGCCGTGTGCTTGCCTATCGTGGCCTTGTGCAGCCAAAGGTTCTTAGACTTTTCGAGGGCCACGGCGCCATCACGGAACCGCTCGAGGGCCAGACAGCTCTGGGCAAACACAAAGGCGCAGCCCAGGTGCAGACCCCGGTAGCCAAGTGGCTTGCTGAACTCGTATGCGGACCGGTAGTCGCCGAGTCGGAAGTGGCTGAGGGCGAGGAGATGGGCGGATTCGTTCGATCGTGCGTCGTGGGCAGAGAGGCGCTCGGCAAAGAAGAGGGCGTTGTCCCACGAGCCGTTGTCGAGATGGTAGTGGACGGCCTGTCGCAGGAGGCCCGTCACGGCCGCACTGTTCGGTGCCATCGTGGGATCGGTGCGGCGCTGTTGTGAGGAGCGTGAAGGGCAAAGATCGGGAAGTGTCGCAGATTAGGGTCTTTGCGGTCGTTGCTCCATGGAAGCCGCGTCGATATGTTCTGGTAGAAAACGGTGGACGTGTTTTCGGCGCGGTTGAAAGCTTGTCTCGTGCTCTCGTGGTACAAACGACAGCAAGTGGCTCTCTGGTTGCTCCTCCGCGGAAGAAAACGAAACGCACACAGCACTCCCTCACTTCGCCACCACAATATGTAGCATGTATAGACAAGACGAAGCCTTGCCTTGGAGGGGGGCAAGAGGACCAAGCGTAAATTCAAGCGGGTAGAAAGACGGAGCGGTCGGTTGAGGAGGGCGGGGACAAGCCTGCAACGGACGGCGAGCGAGAAGATGCACGTCGTCAACGAAAACGGCCCTCAAAAACGATGCGTTTGCGACGAGACTCTCGAGGGCCCCGTGAGAAGCGGTGAACGGCGTGCCAAAAGCCGGCCAGGGTGCGGACTGTGGGCAGAGAAACAAAGGAAGGGCCACACGTCACGGGCGATGAAGATCCAGACTCGCCGTGATGGCCGTGACTTTGGTGGTGTTGGTGGCGGCGCCTGCGTTGTGAGCTGGTCTTCTGTCTCGCGATGTTGTGAGCGTCTGCGTACGGCGTGCTGTGATTGGCTGCAGCGTGCTACCTGCTGCCGCCGAACGCCTACCAGAGCAACCCCAGCAACCCAACCCCACTCTAAACGCCTCCTGGCTGGAGGTACATTGTCACGTAAATTAAGTGTAGAGGTACATTCGAATTCCACCTCGCGCCTGCCTTCTCCGGCCACCTATCTTACTGCATCGTGCTAGCTGTTCTGTGCGTTTCCTCACGCTTCCTTGACCTCAACCTCAACCTCTGCCACCGCCACCACTGCTCCGTTCACTGCCTCCGCAACCTGCCTCTTCCCGACCGTCTTTGTCTGTACTTCCGACAGCTCTTTTTCTGAAGCTCATTGGCCCCGGCATTGGCACACCGGCCGCCCTGCATTCTCGCGGCTTGCGGACATTCCTAATCTCCTATTCGTCTACCCTCGCTTCGTTCCCGCTCTTGCTGAGTGGAATTCCACCTGCCGACACACCTTCGCCATGGCGCAAAAGGCAAAGAAGGACCGGGCCAAGTCCAATGCGACCACGCTGACGAACCTGCACTTGGGCTCGCTCGTTGTCAACGTCGCGTTTTTGCTGTTCTACCTCGTCTTCCGGTCCCGGTCGCTCGTCGCCTACGTCGTCGTGTCCCTGCCAAGCTTCCTGTGCCAGTTCATGCTGGAGCGCACGGGCCGGCCGCGCTACGATGCGCAGACGGGTGCGCTGCGCTCGTCGGGCGAGGACCTCGCGGCGGCCGGCCTGACGGAGTACATGTTCGACGTGGTCTGGGTCACGTGGGGCGTGTCCGTGCTGGTGATCCTGTTTGGCAACAAGCTGTGGTTCCTGTGGGCGATTGTGCCTGCGTACGGCGCCTACAAGGGCTACGGCCTGCTGGGCTCGGCCCGCCAGATGGCGGCCATGCAGGGTATGGGCGGCGGCGATGCTGGCGCTGGTGCGGCGCCCGCGCCCAACCGGAGACAGCGGCGTGCAGCCTAATCGAGAGCATTCTTAGATGGGCAGGCACGGTCACAAACAGAAGAGAGACTACGAAGCGACAGAGAAAAGGAGAGAGCGGAAGAGGACGAAAAAAAGAAAACAAAAGTACATACATGCTGCATCATTTATGCGCTAGTGAATGGTATCTATTTCCTCTATCCTCGATGTGTCTCTCGTGGCGCCGCCTCAATTTTGTGACACGGTAGCTCTTCCGTCCATTTCTGCAGCAGGGCTGGGCTGGCGTTGCGGACAAGGACGTGGATGTGCTCCAGAGCGCGCACGCTCTGGAGCTGCACCCAGTTCTTAAACCACAACACCCGCTCTTCTCCGTTGCCGTTGGCGCCATCCTCTTCCGTCAGACTGTCGGCAAAGTACCGCCTTACAAAAGCGGCCACGCCGGCGCGGCTCTCGTCCGTCATGTCGCCCGTGTTGGGGTCCGTGGGGATCAGCGTGCGTGTCCATACGACGATGTGGGTGATGTCGGACGTGAGGCCGTACGGCCAGTCGTTGACGAGGACGCGGTAGTCGCTGGGGTCGGCAAAGGGTGTCTTGGACACCGGCACATAGGGCGGGCTGTCGCCCCAGGCCTTGGGCAGGCGGTGGACGATCAAGTAGCGGGTGATGGAGCCGTACTCGGCCTTTGTCTCGGACGTCCACTTCATGTACCGCCGCAGGTCGGACGGCTTCCTCTTGAGGACCGAGAGGTTGTTTGTTTCTAGTGGAGTTCAAATGTATCTATAATTTAGAGTCGAGATACAACAACAAAAGCAAGCATCTGGGCCAAGGGCCACCCACCAATGACATTCTTCAAATCCTCCCAGTCGTGCTTGACATATTGCTCGTCAGTGAGAGACAGAACATAGCGGTCGGTGTCCGTCAATGGGAACGGGTGGTCCTCGCCGATATTGCCCATTGTGACCGTGTGCCGGTGAGTATGGGGGGTGTTAGTGACCGTTGCGCTGTTGAACTGGCCAACTTAACTCCAACGCGCTTCGTGTCTAGTGTGTCGCGGCCCGCTTGTGCCCCTCTGCTGACAGCCCAGGAACCAAGCATCGCACATTATGCGACGAATGAGAGGGGTAGCTCCGATTAGCGCATACTTTAATTTGGGTAACACATCATCGACAACCCGTATTCTGCACTCATGAAAGTGAAGCTGGTTCTGTCCATCAACAGAGAGAGAAAACGAGTATACAACAGTCAAGTATAACAGTCAATAAAGGAAGGGTCGTCATACAACGTTTATCGAGCTAGAATGTCGCTTGAGCGGCATCGCACTCATAAAGCACCATTACGTATTCGATTGTGCACTGCTTTGAGGAAGCGGGCAAGGTCGTCCATCTCCTCTGGCTCTTTCAGCCAATGTCCCTCCTGCTCGGCCCCTTCGTAGTCGTGCCACTCTACCGATGTGAATCCCACATTCGCCAGCAGTTTACGCGCCTGTTGCCCCAGCTCCATGTCTACGTATGCGTCGTCTCGCCCATGGCCAAGGAACACCGGCGCAGTGAGAACGGTGCTTGTGTTTTGATCCAACGCAAGGGCCGCCGGGCGCTCTTTTATGTGTTTCCGCAGCGGCGCCATGGCAATTTGTACAAATGCAAGTGGCTCAACGGGCTCGCCGTCGTCTGTCTGAGAAATCTTTACCTCGGCGGTAGCTTCGTCACCAAGGTACTTTGTGATCTCGCTCGCAAATGGCAGCCATGTGCTCATTACCGCAAATCCGCCCAGCGGCCGTTCGGGCTGTTTTGTGCTCAGCAACGTCCACAAGGCAACGGCACCGCCGAGACTGATGCCGCCGAGCACAACCCGTGAATGGGCATCTGAACCACCAGCCTCGATCGTCTGGAGCCGCCGGATCTCGTCCTCGACAATCGTCACGACATGTTGTGCGGACGCGCGCAGACCACTCTGCTGGAGATCCTGCCTCGCCGTCGGGTCTGCCAACGAGTGTGCCTCGAACCATGCGGGCATCCACTCCTCAAATGTGGCATTCCATGTGCTGGGTGATGACGGGAAGACCCAGCGCCACGAAGGCAGGCGGTCGGCGAGGCCGGGTGTTTGGCCGTCCGACAGAGTCGTCGCAAACAGTTCCTCGGCAAACTCCTCACCGGTGCTGCCACGGCCGTGGAGGAGGATGGCCGTATGGTCGTGGACGTGTCCATCGCGGGATTCGACAACGAACGTTGGGCCAAAGGAGGACATTGCCGGTGTGTTGTTTGGTTGATGCTGTGGCTGCTATGGAGTTGTAGAGTGGAAGTAAAAGGCTGCAGTTCCTAGAACTGGACGGGTTGTAATGAGGCAGAGCAGTCCACTCGGACAGAGCCGATATGCAGGAACATCCCGAGGTGCGCATTGCGACAGAAATGGGAAGCTGCAACTCTCACAACATCTTTTCTTACTCATCTCGCCAGATCCTTCGTAATGTCACGTGTCAGTGCTTCAGAGCTTTTTTAACAAGACAATGTAAACCAGCCCTCGATATCCACGATACCCACGATAAACACGGTGTGAAACGCGACAGTAATGCGCCTCGGAAGGAAGAACCTCGCCGACATCTAGCGACAACTGTCTGTAACGGGACTTTCTCGCCGAAGGTCGGCCGTTCAATTGCCGTGACGTTGGCGGAATTGATTATGCGCAAGCTTCAGGTCGTAGCAGCGAGTACAGCGGTTGAATCGGTTGTTTTACAGGCTGTTGTCGTCCTGTTCCGCCAGCTAGAGCAGTGCTGCAACCGCCTAGAGCCGGGCCATGTAGCGGTTTGGCTAGCGCACTGGCAGGTATCTAGGTTGTGACCAGACGAAACAAGGAAAGTACCGAGGGGCTGCCCCGGCCGCACAGTCAGCGCCTTCCTAACCAAAACCTTGGAATTCATTCCGACCTTTGAATGCCTTTTGGGAGCTAAGATGAATTTTATATTTATTTCTGCTGCAAAGAAAAATGGTAAAATGTTGCAGATCCGAGCAAAAAGGGAACGACGAAAAAAAGACAACGAAAGAGAGACATAAGCTCCCCCAGCTACGGCAAAGGAGACCACGGCCGATTGGATTCCCACCGTCGTCGCCCCGAAGCTAAACCGACCGCTCTTCGTCTCAGCAACACCATTCTCGCACCCTTCCTCTCAGTTTCCGCCAGCCCCTCCCCTCCTCCATCCTGCCGCTGGCTCCTTCCTTTTCTGCCATTTCTTGTCGTCCTCGCTTCCTTCCCCATACTTGTCACATTCCGCTGGCATCTCGCGATCTCGTCGTCTCCAGCCTTTTGCACGCCCTCCCTATCCCTGTCTACCAGACGAAGACGGCTCCTCGAGCTCCATCTCGCCACCATGTCTGATAGCCCCTTCTCCCGCAAGTACATTGACGGCATCTACGTGCCTGTCGTGTTGCTGATTGTCGGCACCTTGATTGTCAAGCGCGAGTACACCATCTACGCTGCCGCTCTTGGTCTCGTCTTTGGCACGGTCAAGTTCTTGAACCTCCGTACGTGGCCATCTTCCCTAGTAGCTTGCCATTGGCTCTTTATTGGCCTTGCTTGGTATCCATTGACTTCTCGCTAACCTGCGTCCATTGCCCCCAGAGCCAAAGAAGGTCCTCACCGACCCCAACACGCTCGTCGAGTTCGAGCTCAAGGAGAAGACCGTCATCTCCCACAATGTAGCCATGTACGTTCAGATAACCATGTGCCGCTGGGCTGACGTCGTACCAAACAACAGTTGCCACTGCCTGCTGACACGTACTCTCTCTCTCCCAGCTACCGTTTCAACCTGCCGACTCCCCGCTCCATCCTCGGCCTGCCGATCGGCCAGCACATCTCCATTGCCGCCGACCTGCCCGACGCCAACGGCAAGATCGTCCCCGTCCTGCGCTCGTACACGCCCATCAGCGGCGACCACCAGCCCGGCTACTTTGATCTGCTCATCAAGTCCTACCCCCAGGGCAACATCAGCAAGCACATGGCGTCGCTCGCCGTCGGCCAGACCATCAAGATCAAGGGCCCCAAGGGCGCTTTCGTCTACACCCCCAACATGGTGCGCCGCTTCGGCATGATCGCCGGTGGCACGGGCATCACCCCCATGCTGCAGATCATCCGCGCCATCGTCCGCGGCCGCGCCGCCGGCGACACGACCCAGGTCGACCTCATCTTTGCCAACGTCACGCGCCAGGACATTCTGCTCAAGGAGGACCTCGACGCCGTTACCGCCGAGGACCCCAACATCCGCGTCTACTACGTCCTGGACAAGCCCGAGGAGGGCTGGACCGGCGGTGTCGGCTTTGTCACAGGCGACATGATCCAGAAGTGGCTGCCCAAGCCGGCCGCCGACGTCAAGCTGCTGCTCTGCGGTCCCCCGCCCATGGTCTCTGGCCTGAAGAAGGCCGCCGAGGCCCTTGGCTTTGAGAAGGCGCGCCCCGTCAGCAAGCTGGCCGACCAGGTCTTTGCTTTCTAAGCGGGCCTCGTTGTCGGACCTTGCTCTCCGACCTTACCCTTTTCTTCACATCGGAGCCACCTTTGGGCTCCTCAGCTTCTCCTTACCTCCTCCTCGCAGTTGCTTTCGTCGCGCACTTGTCAATGGGTGTGACGGCGTTTGCGACCTGCACCGGGGGTCGTGTCCTATCAGGCGGCGCGACATGACCTCTGTATTACGATCGCGACACACAAAAATAGACACGAACGGGCGCGCGCATAGACTGACGGGGAAACTTATTATTGCCTAGTAATCACTGGAACCCACTTTTCGTTACTTCCTAAAACGTAACCTACACGACAATACACACTTTTTAACAGTCATATAATTCAAATGTTTCTTTTTCCAGTTGCACAAATCAATGCTACCCAGAGGATATATGCAATGTGACGCCCTTGTTCCAAACCTTTAAAGGAACGAAACGAAAAAAAAAGTATGAACGGCATAAGCAACGCTACTGTGTCTTCTTCGTCTCGGCCTCTTCTGCGTTTGCTGTCCGGCCGTAGCCTGTCCGAAGGTAAGCGGACAACAGCTTCCAGAGCACCCAAGAGAAGCCGAGGAGGATTGCTGCCGACGTGCCGACGTTGACCCATTGTGCTTTGCTCGAGTCCAAGACGGGAACACGGATCGGGATGGTCAAGGCGTCCGTAGAGGATGCTGAAGTCGATGCACCCAGACTCGGGTCCGGCTTCAGGTGCCAAAACTCTGTTGTCTCGTCAAAGAGTCTGTCGTAGCCGACATGGACACGGTCGAACGGGTTGGTCGTGAATTGGACGTCCTTGTCCGCCTCGCATGCCCAGAACACCACGGGGTACGGGACCTCGACGGACCGGTAGCCGCCGTCGGCGGGGAGGAGGTAGCGCAGGTGCAGCGGGATCTCGGCCGTCCATTCCGAGGACCGCTGCTGCTCCTCGGTCAGGCCGACCGGCGGCGCCAGCTCGATCAAGGCCGCCGAGCCCCAGACAGGGACGGCATAGTCGGGCGCCTCGAGGTCGACGGGCTGCGTCATGTGGTGCAAGGCCGTCAGGTTCTTTGATGCCAAAAAGAGGGCATCGCCCAGCTGGTACCGGTCCGCAAATATGGAGCGCGGGAGCGTCAGGTACGTGTGAAGCTTGCAAGAGCCAAACTCGCCGTCGTCGGGGTTGTGGTGGTGGGGCGGCGGGCCGGGGGCCACACGGAGTTGCAAGGTCGGGTGCAGACCCGTGGGCTGCGTAAACGTGGCAGAATACGACGCACCGCCGGCTGCCGTGCGGTGCCGCGAGGGAAACGCAAACATGACCGACTTCGGGCGGTCGTCCTGGCCGAGGACAGCCACTTGCCCGGCCATGCCAAGCTCGTGAGGGCCGAGAGTAGATGGCATGTCAGCGCCCATGATGCCGATTTCTGTCCGGGTGGTGCCCGGCTGTGCCGCTACATACAATGGCCACATGGCAAGCGGCCACTGTGTCGTGACTTTGAGCGTGCGCGAAGATGTGTCGTACGATAGGTCCAGCGCGCTGGCACCGTCAAGCTGCTCCGCTTGTAGACTGCAGAGACCTCCATCGTCAGCGGTCGACGGGCACCAGTCGGCCTTGACATACGCGGCGAACGCGGTACAATCGGCCACATCCGAGTAGAACTGGTACGTCTGCCGGTCGTCTCCCAAGTAGTTGAAGGATTGCTAAACAAAAGTCAGTCCACACGCGCACTCATATGGGATAAAAAGAAACATTGGGGAGACGGACACCAATCGACTGGCAATCTATGCGCTGTCCAAATGCATTTTTTAATAATGAGCAGACGGCGTCTCTTGATGCCTCAGTTAGTTCCAGTCACCTTTATTGTCACTCCAAGGAGGTTCAACCTACTGCTTCTCCTCGGACGCACCGGGGGTCGGCGTGTAAAACACATGCAGACCCGGAGACAGGGTCGACAGCAAGGGGCTCACAAGCTCGACGCCGGCAGTTCGTGCAGCCCAACGCACGTGCAACGCATGCACGTTGTCTGCAAGCAGACGGGCCAGCGCGGCCGGCAGTTCGTCGAGGCCGAGTGTCACGCGGTCCTCGCGCGCCGCCTCGATTGTCGGCCCCGTCAGCGTTGCGTCGACTACACGCAGTAGCGCAGGGTCCACGGGGCTCTCTGGCCGATGGAAGAAAGTTGTGCGCTGACGCATGATGGCGCTGTGTCTCGGTAAAGGAAGCGGCGAAGATCTATCGTCTGGTGTCCCACGTCGTCCTCAGTAATATTGCCCGCCCGTGTCTCAACGACCAATCTCCCAGCAAACCACCAAACAAGCAGAGCACCGCCTGCTCACTCTTCCCAAATAAGCTTTCGAGTAGCTCTTAGTGTGACCGGCCCGGGTATTGCCAGGGGAGATCTAGATTACCACCGCTCGGTATTGAAACGGGTGGTGTGGCTTTTGGGACGTTCGTTGCGGTGTGTGGGTAGCCATGCAGAGCGTCCAGTGGTTGGCAGAGACGTTGCATGCGGCTGGGCTGATGAGGCTTGTGGCTTGTTGGCGTGTTTGGTGTGTTTGGTGTGTTTTGGTATGGATGTTTCAGCTCTTCGTCTGTCGTATTTCGTAGTTTGGCACGCGTTTCTCACCCCTTTCTGCCGAGTCTAGCGACCGACAGCTCCTTCCCGTTGGGCATTTTGGCGGCCCTACGTCGCTCTTTCCCCATATGACGTCGGCCATAGGCTGCAGCAGCAGCGCCTGTGACCACCTTTCCTCCCGAAAGCCCCCTGGAACGGGCAGACAGGATCACTTCCTTATTTGGGTGACCGACCTAGGACGATCCGCCGCTAAACCCAATCTGCTACCGACTCGACAACTCTCTGCCCTCTCAATTGGGCTGGCCGAGTCGGTATCCCCGTTTCCAAGGCTGCGCGCGCCCTCTGATTGGGTTGTGCCAGCAGCGAGGAAAATACGGTTAGGAACGTGGTTAATAGCAACTGAGTATTGCGAGGCTCTGTGGGCAAGCAGAAAAGGGCAGGAACGACACTGCAATCCGCCCCGCCACAACGACGATTACAGAAGGCCCGATGGTCGAAATCGCCAATCTTGCACATGGTCGTGACTTCTGTTTCCGTTTTCATGCTCACCGACGGCGCATTTGCCGTTTATTGTTCTTTCCTCCTCTTTAGACTGTAATTTCTTTCTCTCTCTTTCCTTTCTCGGCGCTGATCCGTATTCTCGTTGGCCAAAACATCTCCTGAGATATTCCTGTTCAAGTCATATCCTCACGTCTCGCATCTCATCAAATATCATTGCTCGCAGCCATTGCGACGTACACCGGCACCGTTCTCATCACCACACTCTTGACGAATAAGATGTACGCCACGTACACGCGGAGCAACTGACACACGGTCACGCTTTCGTGACAGCCGGTTCCTTGACCCGCCCATTGGACTCTTTTACGAACGCCTTCACACCTCCTCTTGGCGTTGACCGGAAAACAGCCGACGCTTGGTGTCCGTTCCCGGCATACTTCCCTATTGACATTGACCTTTCTTCCCTCGCGTCTCTTGCATCTCTTGCATCTCTCTCTTGCATCTTGTTGTCGTATTTCTTCACCCCTATTTCTTTCCTCCTTTCGGCTCTCCCGTCAGTCGGCACGTCGTCCTTATATATCGGTCAAGATGGGCGACCTTCAACCCCCATACCTGACCATCCGGACGCTCAGCAGCGGCGCCGACCGGAACAGCCTCACAAGCACCGACTCGGCCTATGCGTCTGCAAACAGCGATTTCACTGTGCCGTCGACCACACACGATATCGGCCGCGTCAACTACCACGTCAAGCACCTCGACTCCTTTGCCCGCACACTCGAGGACTCAGCCAGCCGCGCATTCCCAAACCGCGGGCGCTCTCATCAACGGTACACCAAGGTCGTCTCCTTGCTGCTGCACTGGAAATCAGACGACTTGTTTGTCCTTCCCGAGCTGGAGGATCTAGAGAAGTGCTTTCGCGAGGAATACGGCTTTGAGACGGACACATTTCCTATCCCGTCCGAGAACGCTCATCTTGAGCTCATGATGCGCATTGGCGCCCTCATCAAGGACCACGAAGCAACCGACACACTATTTATTGTCTACTACGGCGGACACGCGCGCATCGACGAATCGAGGCAAAGCACTTGGTGCGCAACACGGAATCCAAACTCGCCCTGGCTGCAGTGGTCAGCCATCCAGACCCTCCTCGAGCGCTCCGTCTCGGACACGCTGATCTTGCTCGACTGTTGTGCCGGAGCCGCCAGTGCCACGTTCCCCAACGGGAAGAGCATCACAGAGACCATTTCCGCCTCCAGTTGGGACGCCATCGCCCCGGATCCGGGCCGGTACTCTTTCACGAACGCGCTCATCGAGGTGCTCCAGGAGTGGCGTGTGCGTACGTTCTCGGCTGCTATGCTGCATGCCGAAGTGCTTGCTCGGTTAAAGCATCCTCGCCCCATCACCATCAACGGCAAGCTCTTCGAAGCTCGCTCCACCCCAGTGCATTTCATGATGACGGCCAACCACAGAGCCCCGAGTATCGAGATCAGTCGCATCCTCCCTCGTAACCGCCAGCTGCCTTCGCCGCCAGCAGAACAAGACTATGGTCCCTATCTCCCAGGCCCTTCTGGCGGGCGTGGACCGCTCAGCGAGCCGGTCAGCGACCCAAACGAGGATGAGCCGCATGTCATGATTTCGTTGGCGTTGGAGGACGACCAAAATCTCGATCTGAATGCTTGGGAGCAATGGCTGTCCAGCTTCCCTGCCCTTGCCAAATATGTCAAGGTACAGGGTGTTTTCAAAAGCCACTCTACCCTCCTCCTCCTCTCAGTGCCAGTGATGGTGTGGGACCTACTTCCTGAGAACCGTGCTTGTTCTTTTGTGGCCTTCATTCGGTCCAACAACCTCATTGCCGAGAAGCGATCCACCACCCCCGAGAGCGTCTCGACCACAATACCAGTGCCAGTGCCGACAGACAGTGCTGCGGCAAAGGCACCAGAAAGCGGCAGCACCAGCAATGTCGATGTCTCCAAGGTCAGTGCCACCGAGACTGTGACCGCCGACGTTGACGCTGAAGACGAGAGCGACGTTGAGAGCATCGACGGATACACCAACTCCGTCATCTCGGGTACCACATTCACACCAACAGCACCCAGTGTCCGTATGAGCATTGCGACCACCGCCGTCAGTATCGGCGACTCGATCTCCCAACGTCAATACCCTCCGCTGCGTCCTCCGCCAGTGACGTCTGCATCGTCCTCCTTTATCTCACGACCTGCACCAGGAGGCATTCAACGCACGCTGTCGCAAGGTTTCGGACACGGTGGGCCTGCCACTCCTTTCGATCAAACGCCATCGATTAGGAGTGTTAGCCCCAGCCAAGTCCGTCCGAGTGGTATGTCGTCGTCAAGAACCGCCATCGTGAACCAACAACGAATTGCGAGACGAACAACGTTTGACCGTGCGGGCGCGGCAGATGGTCCGAAGCTCGCACAACATATTGTCGACCGCCTCGAGGAGTATTTCCAGCAGCATCCCAACCCGAGTGTCGGTATTGCCGAGTTCTTCGCCTCCAATCTCGGGGTTGAAAAGCGGGACATTGATGTAAGTACTTTGTGGCACCTGTGCTGTGTTCATGTTGACGATCGTCTTGCTAAGTATTGAAAACAGCTTTGGTTCCATCGACGGCGGCAACAAGAGTCGATGACGCAGAACCTGCAAAATCTGAAGATGGTTGACCACCCATCGTTTGACTATGGCGATGGAAGCGGCGCCAGCATGATCCTCCCGGGACAGTTGAACAGACTGCTTGACATCTTCCCTCCAAACAATCTTCTCTTTGTTGATCTGCGGTCCCCGACCGACTTTGACAAGTCTCACATCTATGGAGCCGTCAACTTACGAACTCCCGTTTCCTTTATTGAGCAGGGGTTCGATCTCCTTGACAAAGTATTCACAGACGACCAAAGTCGCAGGAACTTTGTGCGGGCACCGTCGTCCCGGTGCATCATCTTCTACGACCGAGTTCTGGAGTTCCCTTGGGAATGTCCCATGGCGGACTCTCTGATCGGTCAACTCCGCACCCACAAGGGCTGGACGGGTGACTACTATGTCCTCAAGGGCCATTACCGTGAGTTCTCGGCGTCCTTTGATAAGTACATCACGGGCGACAAGATGTCACAAGCGGCCAAGGACTACGTCGATAGCCTGCGGCAGCGGACGCCCCTCTCGGAATCCGACAAGGAGCGTACGGAGCATAGCTACGCCGAGTGGAAGGCACTGGTTGAGCATGAAAGCCGAAACTCGCTGCCGGACTCGACTGCGCACCTTGACGAGCGGCGGCAAGCTGTTGACCAACACCAGGCTGAGCTCGAGGCGGAGCTTGAACGCCGCAATCCAGTGCTCTACCGGAAAGCCTTGGGCCTGCGGCAGATGCCTCTTAAGAAGAGCTACTCGACGACGAACATGCACAGCATGACGAAGGGTGGCTTCAGCGACAAGTACCTCGAACACAACCTGCGGACGGAGCTCGTCGGTCCTCTGACACGCGGCCTCGAGAAGATGCACAGCCACGATCAAAGCTACCTCGGCCACAGCGACTCGCCGCATCAAGTCACACCTGGCTACGACAAGCTGGGCGAGCTTACAGAAACGTCGTCCCGGCCGTCGGCGTCTGATGAGTTTGAAGAGATGGATCCCCGAGACGATCTGCTACGGGACAGCCCAGGTTTCCCAAAGGCAGGCCACCATGCTGGCCTGGGTGGCTCCAGCAACGACGTGGGCACGGGCAGGGGCGGCTCGAATGCGGCCGACCTCCCACGCAGCCGTGAGAAGTCGTTCTGGAAGCGCCTGCGTGTCAACAAATAAACAACGGCGCCACCAAAAGCAGATCATTCGGCTATTCATAAACGGCCGGCCCTTTTCCACCGCCATTCAACTTCATGTGCCTTCTCGGTGTGCTACCCCGTAGCGGTAGGGAGGAGCATCCTGCAGGACCACGCAATCTGTCGTGCGCAACGTACGCTGGCGGTAGTTGCCGCAAAGACAGAGGGTTGGTCACTCTGGCCGCCATGTTTTCCTTTGAGTCTTATTCTCCTCTTTCTCCTATGTTTTTGACATTGCCATATTTCGATCATTTTGCGAAACAGGCGTACGGACATCATTTCGGCACGCCCCCTAAGGAAGGTGTGGAGTTTTATTCTGGCGGAAAAGAGCCCCATTCTCGGTCGAGGTCCGACAGTGTGTTTTTTTTTGTTCTCTTGTTCTCTTGTTCTCTTGCCCTTTATTTCGCTTGCGATTATGGGTTGGAAACCCTGTAATTTAGGATATACTTGGCATGGCGGTGTAAAAAGCCTTCTTTTTTTGAATACCATATGAGCATATTATGGAGTACGCTGTACTCACATCCCACATCCCACGTCGCACAGGCACGCATGCACGCATGCACGCATATATGGTTCCTGTCTTATGATTGTTCATGATTGCAAAGCGGTTATTACGATCTGTGGTCGCACGCCGGTGGCTGATGACTCGGCCATGACGGCTCGTCTGCCTGGCAGAATATCCGATTTTGCGAAGACGCAGACCCCGAGTGCAGCCAGCAGCCAGCAGCCAGCAGCAGGGCGTCGAGACGCGGTATTTGGGATGAGCGGTGAAGAGGTGAAGAGATGAGAGCCAGGAGAGAGGAAGCACAAGGAGGACCGGGTGCGGTTGGAGGGGGACACGGCGCGGCTGGCTGTTGGATGAGAGCCGTCGTCGTGTGGTTGCTCAAAGTGTGGTTGCTCAGACACTCGAATCTTGGTTTCGTGTCTCGTCACATTTCCTCCAAGCCACTCATCCATCCACCTGATGAAGACAGACAGTGCATCGCCCACCCCTCGGCACACCCTCATTTCCTTGTTGTGGCCGGCCAGATGGTCATGTCGATCGACGAGACCAGCATCGTTATGTGTCTTACTGTCTGCGTGTCTGCGTGGCCTCTTCCATTTGCCCATTTGCTCATTTGTTTGAGAGGCAGAGAGCAAGGACCTATGGTTCGTATCTGGTCCATTGATATCGCCGAGTTCAAGGACCACAAGGACCACAAGGGGCAATGATGGTCACATATATTATTGTCCTCCGGCGTCGTTTGTCTCGCCTGCCTTTGTTCTTCTTTTTTGCCGGTCTCTGTCACAGGGTTTCATGTCATTTGACATTCCGGTTTTTGTCTCATTTCTCGGATCGAGCACGTCTTTGCCGCAACGACACCAGCGTCAAGACAACTGACTGACTGGTCTCTGCTCCAGGGCTTACGACGTCTTCATATTTGCTTCTGTTTTCTTCGACGGGTCCGGCGAAGCTGGCCGTATGGCCTGGGTATGGTGGTTTGTTTTGTTTTACGATTCTCCGATAAACCGACGCCTTGAAAAAGTGACTCAAGCACAAGGCATGTCCTTGTCATCCTTGCCTCCTTGCCAGGCATCTCACCTCCACCTTTTCATATTTATTTTTCTACCCCTTTCAGTTGCCTCTCCTTCCTACCGTCATCATCAGGTGGCAGTTGGCAGCCACCCCCTGTCGTCCTTTTTTGATATTGACAAAGACGTTGCTAATCGACCAACGTCTGTTTTGGCGTGCCTTTGTGCATACAGGAGGCGTTCTTCGGATGCCGGAGTGGGATACACAGAAACACACGGTACGAGTACGTCGTACTCCGCACACACACATGTACGTTTTGTTTTGTGCCAAATACTTTCATAAAATGCGAAGAAGCAAGCATCAGGGGCTCGTACAGTACGTTTGTGGGATGATGCCTCGAGTCGAGCTTCGTCTGCCCTCCACAGGGCGTATGGATGGATAGATGAATGGATTTATCGACGGATGCATTAACCTTGACACAATTCCCGAAGGATGCAAGGCAATACTTTCCTTCTCTTGCAGAGATTTCAAACTGCTTCCTTTACGCAGGCTCGAGCTGCTCGCAAATTGGGCACATGGTAAAGAACCTGCACGAGTACAAGGACACTCTGCTGCTGCATCTGCTGCCGTTATTTTGTTTCTTGTCAATTTGTGTCTGCCCTTTTGACAACAAACGATGTACTAGCTAGGCTGTTTTGTTGTCGCTCATTTAGGGGAACCCGTCTACGTGCCGCGACAGCCTCCTCTATCCCTACCCGCCAAGGTTGTTATTCTTCCCCCCTGTTCGTTTCTCGCCGCTCTTTTCTCCCTTGCATATGTGCTCTGATTAGCATTTTCTTTCTCATTTGTCGCCAGGCGCACAAACACACAAACTCAAGAACAAAAAACACACGACAGAGGTTGCTGCAGGTCGGCGTGCTTCAGGATTGTTTGAACGGATTGGTGGCCATGAGGCGACCAATTCATTTCTGGGTATTCTTATTCCACTACCTTTCTCGCCTCTGTTTCAAGTATTTTTTCTGCTTTTCCCCTTTATTATTTTCCTTTTCCCCTTTGGAAAATGTCCGTTGCCGTCTGCAAGATTGGCGATACCAGGTTGTCAACGAGTTCCAAAACGAAAAACGAAAAGAAAACGAAACTAGTAGACGACCGTTGTAGGCAGTACTGTCTGAAAATGCCGCAGTGCTGAGAGGTCTTTGACCGTCTCCTTTTCCTGCCCCCTTGCTTGAGACTTTTTTTCTTCTTTTTAATCCCTGCAATTTGATGCTCGTTCCTCGAAGCATCACATGTCTCTCCGTCCGCACCATATTTGCTCTCAGTACTTTATGTGCATCACCACCTCCGCCCTGTCCCCTCCCCAGTCGAAGGACGGGGCGGAGTATTCCTCTAGATGGCTAAGCGGAAAAGATCCGATCGGACAGCGGACAGGACGTATTTCCCGTTATGCATGAGGAAATCGCAAGAGGGGATGCACAAAAGGAAGGATGGAAAAGTTTATATCTGACAGGGCCGGCAACACCTATAGATGTTCAAGCTCTCGTCTTGCACTGTTGTGTTTCGGTCACATTGTTCTCATTTCCTTGATGTGTGGTAAGGTAGCGAGGGTGAGAGGAAAAGGGCCGAGTTGGGACCCTTGCAAAGGTCGCTTTTGTTCTCTTTATAATTTTGTGCCACCCAGTATCGGCTCCTCAAGGAAAAAAAGAATCTACAAGGAATATAAACACATCTTGAGACAACAATGGTGAGTGCTGCATCTCATTTGTGAGGGGTGTTTCCTTTTTTTTCCCGCTCAATTTTGCACATTCCTGCCCCTTTTGGTTCACTCTCGATTCCACCATGCAACGTTGAATTAGGGCGGGCTGCATGTTCCAGAATTTAGACCCAATCTGCAAAGAGATGGAGGGAGATGCAGAAGGACGTGACAAAAGGTGGGTGGGTAGCACGCAGTTGAGTGGCAGATAGTGCAGAAGCCTGCAGTGACGTGCAATGCATGAACGCAATGTGGAACGCACTCCACCGGGTAAGAAAAGACAACAAAATGACCTAGACATGACAATCAAGGACGTGATGTCGACACAAGGTTTCGGAAAGGAAGATCTTGAAGATCAGAGCACTGTCTGAGACCGTTCTTGACCCGGACCTCGGAGAGACGGACATGCGCTTTGGCACTCTGAACGGTGCGCTCCGATACTCTGTTGTTTCGTTTCGTTCTTGTCTTTTTTATTTCCCATCACCCTTTTCTCGTATTTTGTTTCATTATTTTCTACGACGCATTCCCAGCAGGATGTACCAAATCCAGAGGTCTCAGACACCACGGACGATTCTCTTGTCTCTGACCTTTTCGCCTTGATGGTAAATGTAAATATGCATAAAATAAAGAACGTATTTTTTTTTTTAAAAAAAAACCCCCCGAAAAAAAGAAGAAGAAAAAACAATACACAAGCATATTCCAACATCATCACATACCAAGTGCAACGCCTGTCGTCGTACTCTACAACTACTCGTCCACTGACACGACACACAGCAACCGTCATAGTCGCCACTCGTGCGAACAAGTGACTACCACGTCTCGATTGACGGCTGTCACTGTACAATGATCCACCCCTACCGAACAACGGCGTGACCATGTCCCTCGAGCCGTTACTGAGTGGCACGCTGTTAAGGGCTCTTGTAAAGTAAGGCCCAACACGCATGATCGACAGGCTGACAAGGCTCGTGGCCAGGCTGCCAGGCTGGCGGCATCCGTCGAGACAGACGAGAGGATATTTCTTTCCAGGTTCGACACCGCCCTCAGCGCGTTTTGGTTCCCTTTTCGTCATGCATTTGTCCTTTGCTTGCGTCTACATGCATAGCTCGCGAATTGACGGCGTTTTAGGCTGGGCTGGCTAGCTAGGTTGGCATTCGCACTCAATGCCTTTTTGACTGTCAGCTGTCGTCCGAGCCCGGATGGGTATCATATGCCACAGCACACTGTAGCTAGCTAGTCAAGTGGCAAGTGTACACTGTACTTTTTTTGTCTTGACAGCCGTCTCGGTGCTCCAACTCGGTATCCGAACCGATGGACTGACACGAGCTGAGCCATGACAAGCAATGACAAAGTGGAGAGAGACTGACGAAAAAGGGGGCCATGCAGGACAAAAAAACAAGTTCCTTTGAAATGAGGAAATTACCAGAAAGACAAACCCCGTAAAGGACAGAAGAGAAAAGATGGAGAACAAAAGAAAAAGAAAAGACAAAATAAAGAAGTAAAAAAAGGAATAAAAGGAATAAAACGACAGCAAGGAGCAAGGAGCAAACCAAAACATGCCCCATTTTCTTTTTCGTTTTGCGCCGTATGTCATACTCCATAATTACAGCTCTCCCAGCCCACGCCATTTGCAGCGTGACTTCCCAGGGTCCGTGATCCGAGGCACTTTCTGCGAGGAAGGTACGCACAGACCGGGCTTGCGCTCAGTGGCGCCTGCTGATCCTGGGTATGCCCTGCAACGGACAGAAATGGAAGTCGCAGTCGGTACTCATGGCGTTGGTGGCTCTGTGCAAGGTTGGAAGGGACATCCGGAGGCCACCCGGAGGGCACCTGCCTTGTACATCAAAATGTACGGGAGGCCGGGGTGTAACGGGTAGTTACTGCCGTCCACACACGTTTGTGACATATCCTTCACAACTGCATACGGAGTACTTTAAAAGTCCTCGTATTCCTGCGCCGTGTCGATACCCACGACCCAATAAAAAAAGACAAAAAAAAACGAAATTGAAAAACACACAAAACATTCTCTAACCTGCCACCAACGTCATGAGGAAGCGGGAAAAAAAGTACGTCGTATACCGGATTTTCTCCGCCAATGTTATGCGCTATGTCTCAGGGAGGAAGGAGCGAAGCGTCGCGTGTATGGTGCATGAAGAAAAGGAAAGAAGCCGAAAAAAGGGAGAGCCAAAGATGAAATTGCCATAGAAGGAAAGAGGCAAGATACGCCGTTGGAAGATGAATCGACATCCCTGGGCTTTTCGACCGGTGTACGCAGGCGCCTCACTGTACAGAATACAGGGACATCGGCCATCGACAGATATTGAGTAATCGGAAGCCACTGGCGCCTTCGGTGCCAACAGATCGCTTTGGTTCGTTGGCCTCTTTGGCTACTTTGACGTCTGTGGCTTGACTTGAGCTTATCCATAATTACGTACGTACCAAAATCACTAGGACGCCGCCTGCCGGTTCTCGCTTGTGAGCATGACTCTTGCCAGTACTTCAATACAATGCCGACGCGTCAACTGTCTGTCGACGTGATACATCAGTTCACATTGCTGCTGTCGCAAGCAATGTGACCAGTAGCGCCTGACGTGTAATTACCGGCTCCTTCCCGCTTTCCTCTCTCACCGATATTAGTCGTTTCCGGTCCTATTCCAGAGGGCTGGTTCAAGCAGGTTTAGGGGGAAGGGGCCTTGCACCCCCCCCACTCCACCTCCTCCTTCCGCCTGTGGATCTGTTCTGGACCTTCCCTCTTCAGCGTTTCTGTAGTGGCACTTTTGCACCTCATGAACTTTTGCCTTTTGTTTCTTCTCTTTTCTTGCTTTTTCGTTTTCAACGGTTGGCTGCGTC